AAACAGAGGAAGAAGTGGTGCAAGTACAAGACCTACTGGGTTCCTAATGACCGCCATGCCACAGTGTACTGGGAGACGGCTATCGCGCCGCCAGCGGTCATCGTGGGAGCCTAAGGAGGAGGAAGAAGAGGCAGTGCACATGCCAGCTAGGGCGCCGGAGCCAGTCCGTCCTACCTGGCAGATCGACCTCGACTCTGCCGAGGACGACGAGGACGAACCACCGGCCCACATGGCGATGAAGAAGAAGATGAAGGTCAGCGGCTCGACCAGCCGCTCCGCACGTCGGTGACGGCCGCCGCGGTCAGCCGGTGTCCGTTGTGTACCCCCTTTCCCCCTATTCCCCTATCCCCCAATCCCGAAATCTACCTTATGCATTCCGATCTTGCATGTATGAACTCGTATGAACTGCTATGAACTAGTATGAACTACCCCTATGCTTATCTACCTCTATTCCCCATTCCCCTCCGCCGTAGATCGAATCTATCACCGCGGATCGAATCTAGCGTGCATGTCGAAGAGAGAGAAGTGCTTACCGCCATTGATGGAGTCCGGTGATCTTCTTCCTCTGCTCCGATCCACCGCCGCCGGCGATAGAGTCCGGTGGTCTTCTTCCTCTGCTCCGATCCGCCGCCGCCGGTGAGAGTTGGGAGAGTGGGGAAGAGTGGGGAGAGAGAGCGGTGAGGGGCGGTGAGGCTAATAACTGTCGGTGCTTCGAGAAGCAACGCGGCTTCTCGAGGGTGGCCGCGCGTGTGCAGCCGCGCCCGCCCACGTGCACCGCTCGGGCCTGGCCCTGGAGAAACTGCCGATTCGTGCGTTCTCAATGAGCCAGGCCCTGAGGTGCTTTAAGAAGCATGCGATGCAGGCCCAATAGTGTATGTGGGCTACCAAACAGGCCGTGCACATCCTGCGCGGGCCTGGTTGGGCTGCATGCGGGCAACCAAACACACCCCAAGAGAATCGCCAGAGCAGTAGTATCTGTTTGAGAGATGTTTCTGCTCTCTTTGTAATGCCCACTGCCTATTACTAATGAATAACAGAAATATACTGAATAACAGAAATAACTGGGTGGGGCCTTTCTCATAATTTCGTTCAACTGAAAAAAGCCACCTAAGCCATTAGGGCATGTACAATGGTTCTATCTTAGCAATGCCACATAGGATAAATGATGAGGTGGAGGAGAGAGAAATCATAAGAAAAGGTTTGTCTTCTCTTATTTAAGAGAAGACAAGAGATGAGACTGGTTTTTCTACCGTGCATGTATCCACCGTTCCATTGTTGTGTTGGGATGTGTGCCAGCAGAATATGTAAATCAATTAAATATACTATTTAGTTATTGATGCATCGCTGACACCAGACACAGTGCTTTCTCTCTCCTAGCATTTCATCACGTGATGTTCCCTAGTTTCAAGAACGAAGTCAGATTTCTCAGGAAGTCAGACCCATCTAAATTTTAATTTATATTTTGTTGGAACAATTGTTTTTATTCAATAAGATCTTCAAAACAATAGTCTACAGATTTTTTTTAATATTATTTATTTAAACACTCAAATGTATTATTTTTATATGGACATTACTTTTTTAGAGGTTCATCATGTTTCATACTGCACCGTCAAACATGTATCCTGTAAATTTGATTTTTTGTAATATGAGAATACTAATGTTCTGTTATGCTTATCATGGTTTTGAACATCTCATACAAATTTAATCATGTTTAAATTTGTCGAAACATATTCAATATTGGGCTTGTTTCGAAGATATGATCGAAAGGAAGATCCATGTTCAAATGGACTATTTTCTTTGATTTATTTTATCATGTATAGCTGTTCCAAGTTTAGGATTGAAAATAAAATGCATGTATTGTTGAGTGGGAGAGATAACTCACCCTGTGTGCATGCCGTGTGAGAGGAAAAAGGATGAGAAAGAATGTTGAGAAGTTAGTACAGCATTTAATAAAAAATACTACTAGTCAGTTTGCATGCCTCCTAATCTCAAACCAAGTCGACGGTTGATCTACGCATGGGACCTCCCGTGCATGGGAGAACTGCTTTTCTCGACAAGAGATGATCTCTTATCACAATATGTCTTACCATGTTTTTAGGTATATCTAGTTATTGAAGATAAGGCTAAGAGATAACCCATTGTAGACATTTTTTTTATCATCTCTAAAGTACATGCAAGATTTAAGATGAGACTATCTTATCAACCATTATACATGCCCTTACATTACTTTACGTTTGATTGCTACGTAGGTGTAGCATTGCTCATTACTGAATACTAACAGACATATCCTGAATTTTCACACGTTTTTCGGCAAGCACATTAATTCAGAGAGACACTCTTTCAGAGGTGAATGGATAGTTGGCAGGCACATGCCATCTATACTATTGATTTAGTACTTGTACAGAAAGAGAGCAGAATACTTATTGATTTAGATCTCTCACCACTGATTCTGTTGAAGCTGTAATTTGTATTGAGTTATATATATTGTGTCAATTCTAACATTAGTATATGCAACCTAACACGATGAGTTTACCAACGGTGTTACATGTCATAATATGTTTAGTTCCTTAGCTTTGTCTATTTGCTTTCAGTCCATGGACACATGCAACATATGCAGAACCAGAAACTAGGTGTAATATTACACCTAGTTTTGAGAAAATAGTACCCAATGTGTCCATGCTTTCCACTCTCTTTTGGTGATTATTGTGATTCTGTAAATAAAG